AAATTAAATTTAAAAAAATGCTTTGACTCCAAAATTTAAGTTGAAGGACAAGTTACTGGGGAAAAGAATTTCTATTTTTGCTTCCACAGAAAATGAAAAGATGTGGATTCCTTCCAGACTAATGTGGTTTGATCAAGCCAGACTGCCTGAAACAGAGTACCAGGTGATCCTACATTCAAAACAGCTCGACAAAGCAGCCCTACAGACTACAGCCAGGATATCTGAATCTTCTTCGAATCCCCCAAGACAGCGCCCCTTACCAGCAGGAAGTAGTTTGGAAAGAACGACGCCCAAATTCCCAAATATTGTGTATAAATGTTGTTTTCATTTAATTGGACTTTGTTATATAAAATTAAATTTAAAAAAAAGAATGAAAATGAGGCAAGTATGACGGCGTCGAAGGTAAAAGCAGGACATGCCTCCACCAGGGGGCTACAGCCCCATTGACTACTAGGGGACCCTGCCTCGGCTGGGATTGTAGGGCTACAGCATGTTTGCTGTGGGCATCCGGGCCTTGCTCTTTGGCTACTGGAGAATAATGAAGTGGAACCGTGAGCGCAGGCGCCTGCAGATCGAGGATTTGGAAACCCGGATTGCTCTCATGCCTCTGTTCCAGGCAGAGAAAGACTGAAGGTCCTTGCAGATTCTGGAGGAAAGTGGATGAGTCTGTGTTCCACACCACACGCTGGGTGCTGCCTCTCCCCGCCCAAGGAGGAAATGCACAAAGCCAACTTTGGCTTCACCTGGTATACGTAGGGCCCAAGCAGATACACACAATAAAGAATAGTCAAATAAATGCCAAAAAAAAAAAAAAAAAAAAAAAAAAAGAAAAAGAAAAAGAAAAAGAAAAAGAAAGAAAGGAAGGAAGGAAGAAAGAAAAGAAAATGAGGCTACTAACACACCATGGCTCCTGTCTTTAGGTGTGGTTTCACAGTCTCACTAATTGGTACAATGGGTGAGGAGAAAGTTTGGGAAATAAGAGTCCTTGCCAGGCTAATTATCTTTGTGTTAAAAAAAAAAAAACTGTTTCTCATAGTATATAAAGCAACTTTATTTCTAGCTTGAATGATTCAGATGTTTGAATATTTGGACCAAGTTTGTGGAACTGTTTGGGAAGGATTGGGAGCTGAGGCTTTTTTGGAGGAGGTGTGTCACTGGGAACAAGTTTTGAGCTTTCAAAAAGACTAGTGCCATTCCCAGTGTCTCTGTATGCCTGCTATTTGTGCATCAAGATGTAAGTTCTCAGCTGTTCCTTCCACTGTGCCTTTGCTCCACCAGCATAAACTCATCTTTTAAAACCATAAGCCCCAAATAAGCTTTTTATTCCAAAGTTGCCTTGGTCATGGCATTTTATCACAAAAATAGAAACATAGCTAAGGCATAAGATATATCTGGCAGTGCATGGTATCATACTCCTGGGATCCCAGAACTTGTACAAATAGGAACTTTAAGGTCAGCTGCCTCATCACAGAGAGTTTGAGGCTAGCCTGCACTACATGAGGCCCTGCCCCCCCCAAGTCAGGGTTTCACTGTGCAGCCCTGGCTGTCCTGTAACTCAATTTATAGACCAAGCTGGCCTTAAACTCACAGAGATACACCTGCCTTTGCATCCAAATGAGAGACAAGCCCTAGGAATCATTGTATTTATCTTTCTCATCAATTCTCTATTCCACTTCTCTATTTAATGAAATTAATTACATTTTAGTTAGTGTGTGTGTGTGTGTGTGTGTGTGTGTGTGTGTGTAGAGAGTGTGTGTTGGGGAGGATATGCTGCAGTACCCAAGTGCTTGTTGTACTTTCCCTCCACCATGTAGGTCATGGAAATTGAACTCTGGTCAGGAGACTTGGTGGCAAATGCCTTTGCTCACTGAGCTACCTCACCACTCCTTTATTATTACTAAGTACCATGTATTTAGGCCGGCTTTGAACTTGCTAGGCATTGAACTTTTGGACCCCATAACACCATCTCCCTGGTGTTATGTCTGTACCACCATTCCTGGTTTATGAGGCGCTAGCGATCCAACCAAAGGCTTCATGTATTAGATAAGCAGACACTCTTTCAACAGAGCTACATCTCCACACCCTCTCAATACAGCCCTAGCTGGCTTGGAATTAACTATTGTAGACCTGGCTGACCTTGAATTCACCAATATATGCCTATCTTTGTCTCTTGAGTGCTGGGATTAAAGATTTGTGTGCTCCACCACACCAAGAAGCTTCTCTCTCTCTCTCTTTTTTTTTGAACAAGATCTCTCTCGCTATGTACCTTAGGCCTGTGGGGAGTAGAGGAAGTCTTGAGTAAACGTGTAAGGAGTAAATTAAGTCTTGAGTGAATATGTGTATTATTGACAAAGACCAAGGCCTCAGATCCATGGGAATTGGCAAAGCCTTCCTCAGGTAAGGCTCAGAACAGGCAAAACCCTCCTCTGGTCCATGTGTAGATGTTGGCAGTGTATACAAAAGCTGGCAACCACAGCCTCCTCTTTGCTGATAACTGCAACCCAAGAGAGGTCCCCAACAGAGGCCTCCCACTGAAGCTAACTCCTCCTTTTCATGATGTATAATAAATGCAAAGAGGTTCTTTGTTGTGCATAGTTGGTGCTGCTCCATCAGAGGGAGTACAACCCACTTGATCCCAGTTTCTCCGTTTGTAGATCTGTGCATTCTTTCCTTCATTCCTTCATCATCCCATCCAGGTTTCTAGGACAAAGCCATGCTAGACACAGCATAAACTGGCCTCAAACTCTTAATCTTCCTGTCTCAGCCTCCCAAGTGTTGGAATTACAGGAATGTGCTACCAGTGCTATGCCGGATAAATCTTATTACATAGAAATAAAGTTGTTTTGTTGAATGCTATAAGAAATGTTTTTTAAAATTACATTTGGCTCATCATTTCCTATATTAATTATTCCTCAAATTTAATTACAGTTGCACTGATTACCCATTATTTAGAGAATCAATTATAAAATCATCTTCCAACAACTACTTGTATATAAAATGAAAATGAAAATAAGAAAAGGAAAATGATTAGCATGTCTAAATATATGCAAAAATAAGCAAAGCTACTATAGCACTCAGTTATGTGATTGATCATGAGGTTATAATTAATATCTATATCTTCTTTCCTCTAATATCCATTCCATATTTGTTCTGCTTTCACAGAGAACCTCAAAAGCTCTTTTGTACTCGGTGAGCCACTCAAACTTAAATTACTAAAGGGCCGTGATTATTATGCCTATTGTTGGTTGCTGTAGTTTTTAGCCTCTACCCATGGGGCACTGATGTACTTAAAAGCACATTAAGCTTTTGGGTTGCACAACTGTTCCTTGCTTCCACTGTGCAGCAACTGTGTGATTTCCTCTTGATAATTAGGATCAACAACTGAAATCAGTGAAATAACTTTTTGAGACAGGGTCTTACTATGTAGTTCTGGCTGGCCTGGACTTGCTGTGTAGACCAGGCTGGCCTCAAACTCAGAGATCCTTCTGCTTCTGTCTCCAGAGTGCTGAGATTAAACATGTGTGCCAACATGCCAGGCTGAAATAATTTTCAAATCTCCTTCTTTTGCCTGGAGTTTCACTGGCGTAAGAAACCTTAAGTGTCCAAAATGTTTGTCTTTCTATTTTGGTGGAATCATTTTTGTGCCTTTTGGTAGGAAACATCTAATTTCTTGGGGACTAAGATTTCCAAACTGATAGAGCTCAAAGTTGCTGAGCCATGAAGTAAAAACTCTGAGTGGGCTATTAATTACAATATTGAGAGTTGCTACTCCCATTTATACCTCATGATTCTAGGAACAAATATTGGCTAAGAAATATACAGTATTAAATAATTTTCTCTAGATTGAAGTATATATTATATCTTAAAAAAAAAACAAAACAAAAAACCACTTCTCAGTTGGTTTCCCACTGGGATTACAATTGACTACTTAGCAAATGATCCTTTCAGTTAGGCCAGGTGGTTTAGGATGGTGTGGTGTGTGGTAAAACCAGTTAACCAATTAGTCATGAACCCATTGTAGCACTTGCTTTGTTCCAAGATGAGTTTGTGGATCTGGGGCAATGCTGTGCAAAAGAGTTCACACATTCTGGTACTTGTGCTGGGCAGGAAAGGGAAAACTATCTAGAATATTTCTCTATTCCTCTGAGGATGCGTCTCTGTTCCCTTTAATGAAATTAGAAGTGCAATATAGTGATCAGGAACTAAATTACAGTCTTTCCTGGTTGATAGTTTAGGCATGTTAAGTAATACAATTAACTATGCCATCCTCGATAAGGGATAGGTCATGTAGTTAAGCCCTAGCCCAACTTCCATCCCTGTTATTATAGCAAATTTGTCCATGTACCTAGTGAGCAAATAATTGGAAAGAAGGAGGTTGACTGACATTCACAGACCACATAGTTTTGTTCACTGGAATATTATTTATTATTTTAAATATATAATTTATTTCTATCTCCTGTGCATTGGTGTTTTGCCTACATGAATGTCTGGGAGACCAGCCAATGTTTCTAACCACCCAGTCTCTCCAGCAGTGGATTATGGATTTCCTTGTGACATTTTCATGCATATAAATTATGCTTTCTTTGTTCACCTCCCTTATGCACCTCCCTATTTCACTCTATCTCTTACTGGCCTCTTTCCTCCCCTTTCTGCTTTCATGACGTATTTTATTATTCTGTTCCTCTATTTTCATGTTGAACTATACATGTAAAAGTAAATGTATATTCTCATTTACACATGAGAGAAAACGATTTTGTCTAACTTATTTATGCTTAACATAATGATTTGCAGTTACATTTATTTTTCTGTCAATAATTTCATTCTTCTCTATGGATTAACAAAATTCTACATATGTGCTATATTTTCTTTTAATGTTGCATAATTTATTTCTATTACTTTTTTGTAAAGTCACCATACAAAATGCAATGGGGTTTATTTTGGCATTTTTATGCATACATGCCATTATATTTTTTCCAATTATTTTTTTTACATGAACCAGTCAGTCAGTCACCTTTTATTAGACACTAGTTCCTAGTCAGGATTTGAAGATTCAGCCACAGTTGAGTTCTTCATGGATGGGAGTGGGACAGGCGGTTATGCTCAGGTATGCAGTGCCATCCATAGTGACCCTTCTTCAGTGGTACTTGCCTCGCTGCTCATGTTTGAGTTCCTTGTAAGAAATGCAATAGCTGGAAACCACATAGGCTGCCAGCACCATGTTAACCCCCGAGATGCTGCCTTTCGGCACATTGATGTATTTGTTGTAATACCGATCGTAACCTCTCTGGAAGGCTCCCACAATGCCACTGGGGGTGAAATTCCGCATCAAGATCCAGCTTGGCAACTCTCCAAGTTTAACCTCCATGAGCTTCTTCTCCTTCAGTGGCACGATTGACGCCATCTTGCAGTCCCGCTGTCCGCAAAACCCCCATTATTTTTTAATCTATTTTTCTTATTGTACATATCGATCCCAGTTCCCTCTCCCTCCCTCCTTCCCTCTCTCTCCTTCCCTCCCTCCCATGTCCCCCACCACCTTCCTATCCCATTCCACCCACCCCCACTCCACAGGGAGGATGATGCCCTTCAGGACGGATCAACAAAATCTGTCAAGTCATTTGGAGTAGGGACTAGGCCCTCCCTCTTGCCGCTAGGTTAAAGAAGTAATGCTCCATGGGGAATGTGCTCCCAAAGTCCTTTTGTGCACCAGAGATACATCCTGGTTCCACTGTCAGAGGCCCCTTAGACTGTCCAGGCCATCTAACTGAGACCCATGTTCAGGGGGTCTGAAGAAAGTCCAATGCTGGTTTCCCAGCTATCAGTCTGGGGGGGGGGTCAATGAGCTCCCCCTTGTTCAGGTCAGCTGTCTCCGTGAGTTTCTGTAGCCTGGTCTTGTCCTCCATCTCTGCATCTGGATTCCAGTTCGGCTCGGTGTATAGCTGTTGGTGTCTGCTTCTGTTTCCATCAACTACTAGATGAGGGCTCTATGATGGTGGATAAGTTAGTCATCAATCTCATTATCAGGGAAGGGCATCTAAGGTAACCTTTCCATTGTTGCCCAGATTGTTAGTTGGGGTCATCCTTGTAGGTCTCTGGACATTTCTCTAGAGCCAGAGTCAATTTTGTCTTCAAACCTATCTATAATGGCTCCCTCTTTTATGGTATCTCTTATTTTGCTCTCATCTATTCATCCCCTGACTCAATCTTCCTAGTCCCCTTTCCTGTCCTCCCATTCTCTTTCTCCTAGCTCCCTCTCCACTCACTGCCCCCCCCCCATTCCCAATATGCTCAGATCTTGTCCCTTTCCTTCTGTGAGGGACCTTGTATGAATCTCTTAGGTTCCTCCTTGTATCCTAGTTCCTCTGGTGGTGTGAATTATAGGCTGGTGATCCTTTGCTCTATGTCTAAAATCCATATATAAGTGAGTACATACCATGTTCCTCTTTTTGACTGGGCTACCTCACTCAGGATGGTTTCTTCAAGTTCCATCCATTTGCCTGTGAATTTCAAGATTTCATTGTCTCCCCCCACCCCCAACTGAGTAGTATTCCATTGTGTAAATGTGCCACATCTTCTTTATCCATTCTTCAGTTGAGGGGCATCTAGGTTGCTTCCGGGTTCTTGCTATTACAAATAATGCATTATACTTCTACCTTATTCTCCTCCTTCTCTTACAGGGCTCCTTTCTCCCTGCTTCTGCTTTCATGTCCCATGTCTCAGTTTTCCTTTAATTGCTGGATAAAATACTGATCACATCCGGCAGTGGTCATGGCACATGCTTTTAATCTCAGCACTTGGGAAGCAGAAGCAGGCAGATCTCTGCTAGGTCGAGCCCAGACTGGTCTATAAAGCAAGTTCCAGGACAGCCAGTACTTTTAAGAGAAACCCGGTCTCAAAACAAAACACTGACCAAAAGCAACCTGGTGATGAAAGGATTTATTTCATTTTAAAAATTACACTATCACTGAGGGAAACCAAGGCAGGAACTCAAGTCAGGCACTTGAAGCAAAATCCAGAGGAACACTGTTGATTGGCTTGCTTCCCTTGATGATAGATTACAACCTGTAAGATGAAATAAAATCATTCGCCCCCAGGTTTGCTTTTGTTTAGTGTTTTATCACAAAAACAAATTAACAAACTAGGAGATTGTTACAGAGAGTGGGATGGGTCTTCTCATACCAACCAGGACAATTTAAATTCTTTACTCAGGTGATTCTAATTTATGGCAAGTCGATGCTCAATCTTACCATTACCCATGTATTCTATTACCCACCCCACTTCCCCTTAATAACTTCTTTCATGGTTCTCTTTTTAGTTTCATGACACACACTAAAATCCACATTCCACGTATGAAAGAAAACATATAGTATTTGTCATTGAGTCTGGATTATTTTGTTTAGTAAAGTGATTTTCCGTTCCATTGATTTTCTGCAAATGACATTATTTTAATCATTTGTGGTTGAAATTCCACTGTGTATGTACTACATTTTATTAATCATTCGTTTAACACCTAGGCTGGTTTCCTATCCTGGCAACAGTGAACCATGGGGGTACTATACCTGTGACATGATAGATTCCTTAGAGTGGTATTGCTGGGTCATAATGAAAGCTGGAACTGCAAGCATATGAAATCATGATTGGACTATTTTGTAACTTTTTGAGCTGTTGCTCAGGGTGTTCTCAAACTGTTAAGCTCATGCAATCTTCCTTCTTGCCTCAGTCTCCCAAGCAGCTGGAACTATAGGTTGGCACATCTAACATTTGGACAGGACTCATATTGTTTGTTGAATCACTACAGATGACCCTACTTTGTGAAGATACTCTAATTTTCACGTCTTCTGGATGCCAGTTTACATGGCTAGAACTAGGCCTTTTGTTGGATCAAAGTCCAGTAAATATATCTATTATTTTCCTTCATTAGGATCCCACCTCTGTTTCCTATTCCTATAGTCCACCTCAACCTCCAACCCATACAAATTCCTTTGTGTTGCGCTGGTTACTCAACTTAGGGTGTCACCCATGTTAGGCAAACATACAAGTGCGCTGTATTTTTCAGTTCAATAATCAAGTTTTACGAGGCATGGTCTGAACTCTATAGGTCAGGCTGGCATGGGTTGGCAGCAATCCCCCTACCCCAGCCTTTAGTCCTTTGATAATAGATGCAAACAATCATACAAAGCTACTAGGATCTACTTCTTGACTTTTTTTTTAAAGATTTATAAATGAATGAGTGCTCTATCCGTTATGTACAACTTTATGCCAGAAGAGAAATCAGATTCCACTAAAGATGGTTGGAAGCTGCCATGTGGTTGTTGGGAATTGAACCCAGGACCTTTGGAACAGCAGCAAGTGTTAACCACTAAGCCATCTCTCCACCCCCCCATTTCTACCTCTTGTTACATAACAAATCTCATTTCCTTCCATTCTTAAGTTCTGCAGGACTCCTGACCTTTAAGACCACAGCTTTTTTGATCAAGGCAGATGTGACCGCTATACTATAGTTGGCTCAACTTAGATGCTCTTTTCCTTCTTAAACGCAATTCCTACCTTGCTTTAGAATGCAACTCAAGGCTATTAACACTGCAGAGAACCTACAAGGTTGTCCAGTAGTTCTGTCCTGTCCACTCAGTGACACCTTTATATACTGCATGTGTCAAGAGGTGACTGCTTCCTCCCAGACAAGAGGTAGGGGCAATTTGCCAACTGGTCTTTTCAGCTGTTAGAGCAAGGTTAAATACAGAAAGAGCTAATGTTGAGTAGAAAGAAAAAGGCCACCAGCCAATTTACCAGGCCCATGGAATCAAGGTGATGTCAATAGGGGAAAAAAAAATCTTTAAAGTGTAGTGCCTCTGTAAGTAAGAAAAACCACACAAACAAAGTACTACTTGGGATTTTTTTTCTAACTAAACTTTTATTAAATTTTTTGTTGTTCAAGGCTGGAACCATCAAAGTCTGATCAGCTTTAAGTGCTGGATATAGTAAAAACGACAAGAGACTACTAGATACTCTGTGAAGACTTGCAGACAAATGACAAGACAGACAAAAACGAAAACAAAAAGGGTAGTCTTGTAGAGAGCTAGTCAAATCTTTTGCTTATTAAGATTTACTAGAAAGGAACCAAAACTTACAAGGAAATTAAAACCGAAACTACCTATGGTAGTTCACCAAATCAAACACTGCATGGGTTGATGAACTCTGAAGGTTTGGATTCAACCTGCTGCAGTATGTTCCAAACACTCAAGGTAAATCCCAATTTCTGGTGGCTGTCAAGTTTCTTTTCTGAGGAAACTGACTGAGGAAAGAAACAGTAGCAGAAGTGGAGGTGGGTGGGTGAGCAGAATGGGCAGATAGTTGTCTGGAAAGTTCATTTGTTTACTGTGTGTGTGAGGTTTTTCTTTTTCCAAAATTTTTTTTTTTAGTTTGAAAAAAACTCCGTGGTGAAAAGTGAGTTATGAAGAGTGCTCTTTATTTGAAACCTCCACAACACAGATGCCAATCTTGTCTCGCATTGAATCATTAGCTGTGCACATCAACACATTCCAAGCACAAATTAAGAAATGCAAACAGAACAAAAAAATATATATATATATAATTTTTCCCCTATCCAAAGGTTTCAAGTCTCAATGCAGCAAATCCTTCTGAACACAGAATCTGAGGAGCACACTGTTCAGTTGGGACAAACAGGTCCCTCCAAAGGCTACTTCGCCTTAACACATGGGGTGGGGTTCATGGACGGCATGAACAGGGAAAGGCAAGAGAATGAGAAGGGAACAGGTATGCACGAGGGAAGATGGGCAGCTGGGACACACACATGGTGAGTTGGTGAATTTCATTTATTGGATTTTGACATTTTCTTTCTGGATCTTTTTAAATCCCCCCCTCCCAAGGTCCAACAATGGTAGAAAAACCCCACAGAAGTAGGCAGGGCCTAATTAGGCCAGCCCAAAGCCTTCAGAGCACTCCTGGATGGCCAATAGTAGCATGTGGCGGAGCTTCTCAAAGCTCTCGTAGGCAGGCAGGTCCAGTTGATTGAAACTGAAAGGATAGAAAGATTAGTTCATGAGAAAAGACAAATGAATTCCAGTGTTACCAACCGTGTATTCCTTTCTAAGCCTATCTTCCTGCTTCTTTCCCATTTTTTTTTCCAGTCTGACCTTATGTAATCATCTGTCCTCAATATTGGCCAATGGCAGCATAAATTTGGTCTTTGCTGAACTTACAGTATAATTAATATGCATTAGAGAAGAGACATCTGGGAAACATATATATTGTATTGTTAAATTTCATTTATTCATTTAATTTTTTTACCTTGAAAAAAGATTTTATTTATGAGTGTTTTGCCTGAATGTATGTATGCGTACCACATTGTGTGCATGCTGATGTCAAGAGAGGACCAGAACAACCAAGAACTGGAGCCATCATGTGGG